ACAAAACAAAGGAAGGGAAGGACAGGGGGAATAGCCAAGAAAAACAGGGGGCTAGTGCCCACTAGGGACAACATCACCGGAGTCCGGCCCCATATCCTCGTAGGAGAAGCCGTCAGGTGGGCCGTGGGGATCCAAACCTCCAGTGTAGCCTGAAGGCCAACCATAATGACCTCGAAAGAGGTCTTGTTGCCAAGTAGGCAACGGGTCGAATTGGGGGGGGCATGGTTAGGGGTTGGGGGTGGATGGGGTCAACATAGGGGTAATTGGGATCACCCCTATAATCACTACCACCCGGCAACCTATAATCATAGGACCTGGATGCGTTAGGGAAATCATGGCGCACCCTATTTGGCTCGGAAGGCCCTTACCAATAGGGGTAGGTAGGGGCGTTGTCACCCCCCCCCCCACGATGGCACTGGGCCATGCTGGGGAGGCCAATATGGATAATTGACCGGAGGCGTGACATCGTCTCTATCTACATGCATATCATAAATAGTCTGCTGTTGGAGAAACATACCTTGTTGGGTTTCAAATGGGCTTTGAACATGCAACTGGAGGCTCCCCATTCGCTGCTCAAGGCTTTCCAAGCCTTGGCTATGGAAGAACTGCTGTTGCTGTTGCTGTTGGTGTTGATGTTGCTGATGTTGATGTTGTTCTTGTTGATGTTGTTGTTGTTGTTGTTGTTGTTGTTGATCCACCATCTCCTCATCATCCTGCTCAAATACAAGGCCCTCTCCCCGATCGGCTCCAAGAAGGACACCATTGTCCCTCCTAACCTAGTAGATGTTTCTGGACTCCCTTTGGAAGGAGGTAATCCGGGTTTGGGAGAAAGCAACGGTGTGCATGAGACACCAACCAATCATAAACTCCCTCTCTAGGGGTGAAGGCAATGAATCCCAACCTTTTAAATTGCTCAAGATTGAGAAAGATGTCACTGCTATTCCCAACCATAGTGCAAGAGGGGAAGAGGTCCCCATGCCCAAGCTTCAGGGCTAACCTTGTTACCATACTCCCACAGGCAATTTCGCCGGTCTTCTTCCCCTTGGCGATTGATAAGCAATTTTTGATGAAGAAGTAGCCCAGGTTCTCTCGTCGGCCTAAGGTCGGCTGAGTAGCGAACCATAGAGAGAGAATATCCTCCCTAGACATCTTCCCTAAATCCTGCTTGTTGAAAATAGCGTATCCAAGTATACGGTGCAGGATTCTTAGGGCCGGGTGGGCGATCTCACTGGCTAAGGAGTAACGGGTGTTAAACTCTTCTTTTCCCGTGATCCCCCTCCACCAATGTCTTTCATTATAACCTTCGAAGGAGGAGTACCCGGGAGCAACAAGGTTAGCATCTAGATTAAAGTCCAGGGCAATGTTGAGCTCTCTCAAGGTTAGTGAATGAGATTTGTTGAAAAGCTGGAAGGTTACTCTAAAGTCGTCATCCCCCACAGCTTCACTGGAGAAGGTGGAAAAGAATTCAAGGGTTGGCTCAAGGTAGGTGTTGAATGACGAGCTCACAAATGTACCCAAATTGAGGTTCTCAAAGAGTACCCAAATGTCTTCGTCGACACCCAAGCTTGTGGTGGCAGGACGGTGATAGTGCTTGGAGGGTCGAAGCTTCCTCTCTTTTATTTTTTTGTAGTTGGCTTCGTGGTTGTTATTTTGGAAGGTAAGAGGAGGTAAAGTTGGTTGATTTTGTTGGGATTGGAAGGTTGGGAGGGTTGTGGTTCCGTCCCACTCTTTGATCGTTTTCTACTGAATTTCAACATCTTCGCCCCAACCACTTCTCAAAAGTTTATACCACAAAGAATTTCACACCAAAACACCGAAAATATCAACCCAAACCACAATTCGAAGAGTACCAACCCAAAAATTCAATCGCACTATCAAGCGAAATCCTACAAAACAAACAATTAGCACAACAAATACAACAACAACGTAACAAAGTTAGTCAATAGGCAAGGAGCTCATGTGATGTATACAGCACCCAAACAATTCTCAAAATTCCCCAAATTACTCACACTCATCATGAAATTCATGGCCAACAATTTACATATCATAAACCCACAAATACCTATATCTAACAATTCACAATTCCCTAACTATTTTAAGAAAATCCCAAAAATTACAAATCATTCACGAGTATTTCATTAGAATCACATATTTGCAAGAATACTCATATACATGTAAATATAATCATAAGAATTGCAAAAATATCACATGTATTTCTGTTGAGTCAAAATTTCTCCCACATACATCACAAATTCAAGAAGTCTATCATGAAAAATGCAGAAATTAGGCTTAGGGAGTTAGATATACCTTCTTGAAGATGAAAATTCGAACGAAAACTTCATCGAGGGGGCTAGCTTCGTGCAATGGGAGATTGGGGTTTTTGGGGTTTTCTTAAAATTTCTTGGGTGAGATTCAAGGGTTTTTGATGAGTAAAAGTGTGCAAAGTGAGGTTTTGGTGAGTGTTTGATGAATTTTGAGGGAGAATTGGGGAGGAAAAGTGAAGATTTTGAGGTATGATGGAGGTTAGTAACGGAGGTTAGGGCTTAGGAGAGAGAGAGAAGTGAGAGCATGAAAGTGAAAATGAAGACGAAAGAGGCATACCTGCGTTTTCTGAACTGGAGTCGTGCGCGCCCGCGCACACTACCTGCGCGCCCGCGTAAACCCACCTGCGCGCCCCCGAACATATACTGCGCGTCCGCGCAGTACCTGTGAGAGCCCTCTCACGGGCGCGAATTCCATCTACAGAAACATTACCCCTTTTTTTTCAGAAAGTGCGCGCCCGCGCTAGGGACTCTACGCGCCTGCGCAGACCTCATGAGCTCCCTGTCGAGCCCTCTCAAGGCATATACAGAAAACTCTCAAACTTCTTCGATTTAAAAAGTTTGCTAACTCTATTAAAAATCCCTAACACATAAAACTAAAATGTTTATCAAATATTACAACCCCATCAAAAGCATACAAAAGTTCAAGTTCAAAACGACAATATTCCTATATCACGGATTTGTCTTCGAGAGCTCCCATCCCGAGATCATCAAAAGCGCGTGAATGTCGTTAATTCTCTTCATTGTGCTCCTTCTTCGGGCCTACTTGACCTACAATAAAAACAACTATGGATTATATCCAATCATAAAATCTAGGTACGAAAATTAAAAATTCAAAGAATAGAAGGGAGAAAGGGGCTCGGGTTGCCTCCCGAGAAACTCTTCTTTTTAAGGTCATTAGCTTGACCATTGTTCCGATTCATTAAGGTTCAACAAGAGAAGGCTTGTAATCCATAGGATCAAGCCTAAGGCACTCAATACGACCAACTTCGTTCCCTGAATGATAGAGTTTGATGCGGTGTCCATTAACCCAAAACTTATGATCGCCCGCATCTAGCTCGAAGGACCCATAAGAAGTGACATAAGAAATCTTGAAAGGACCGGACCATTTGGATTTCAGTTTTCTGGGGAAAAGACGAAGTCTAGAGTTGAAAAGTAGAACTTCATCTCCAACCTTGAATTCCTTGAACCTTATCCTTTGATCATGCCACTTCTTTGTTTTCTCCTTATAAAGCCTTGAATTCTCGTATGCATCGAAACAAAGCTCCTCTAGTTCATTCAATTTCATCAACCTTTTCTTTCCGGCTTCCCCAAGGTCCATATTAAGCTCCTTGATGGCCCACCAAGCTTTATGTTCCAACTCTACCGGGAGATGGCAAGCCTTGCCATAAACCAACCGGTATGGAGTAGTTCCTATCGGGGCTTTGTAGGCCGTTATAAGGGCCCATAGAGTATCATCAAGTTTGAGGGACCAATCCTTTCGAGTCCGGTTCACCATCTTCTCAACTAGGTTCTTGATCTCTCGGTTCGATACCTCAACTTGGCCTTGGGTTTGGGGATGATATGGGAGCCCTAATTTATGGTGGACACCACATTTCTTGAGGAAGGCTTCAAGCTGCTTCTTGGTAAAGTGCGATCCACCATCACTAATGAGAGTCTGGGGCACCCCAAATCTTGGAAAAATGATCTTCCTTAGAAGCTTGAGGACTACTTTGTGGTCGTTGGTTGGCGATGGTATAACCTCTATCCACTTGGTCACGTTGTCAACCGCAACCAATATATAAGCATTTCCACATGAGGACACGAATGGACCCATGAAATCAACCCCCCAAACATCAAACGGTTCAACTTCAAGGATACCCAATTGAGGCATTTCATCCCGTTTTGTGATGCCTCCCACTCTTTGGCACCTATCACACCTAGATATGTATCGTTGGGCATCACGATGCATGGTAGGCCACCGTAGAAGGGATTGAGAGATTTTAAACACAGTTTTAGTCACACCACCATGTCCTCCACACGGTAGTGAATGGCAATGTTCGAGCACACCCTCTATTTCATGGTCCGGGACACATCTCTGGAATATACCATATGACATTGTTTGAATAATAATGGGTCGTCCCAAAAATACCGCCTTACTTCCTTGAAAAACCTCTTCTTTTGCTGAGATGAGTATTGGTATGGGATAATTCCACTAGCTAGGTAATTTGCGAAATCTGCAAACCACGGACTAGGAGAAGAAGCAATATCCATAAGGGTCTCAACACCCATCTCCTCATTTATCGGAACACTTTCAACATCATTATGAGGTAATCTAGACAAGTGATCGGCAACATGGTTTTCGGCCCCCTTCTTATCCCTCATTTCAATGTCAAAATCTTGAAGGAGGAGGACCCATCGTATTAGCCTAGGCTTTGCATCCTTCTTGTTCATTAAGTATCGAACCGCAGCATGGTCCGTGTACACTATCACTTTGGAACAAACAAGATAGGGCCGAAACTTGTCCATAGCGAACACAATTGCAAGCATCTCCTTTTTTGTAGTAGTATAATTCTTTTGGGCATCATCCAAGGTTCTACTAGCATAGGAAATAACATGCATCTTGCCTCCTGCTCTTTGACCTAATGCGGCTCCCACTGTGAAGTCACTAGCATCACACATTAGTTAAAATGGCAAGCTCTAATCTGGAGCTTGCACTACAGGAGCAGATGTGAGAGCTTCCTTGAGCTTATTGAAGGCTCGAAGGAAACTATCATCAAAACAAAAATCTTTATCCTTTTGAAGCAATCCGGTTAAAGGTTTAGATATAGTGGAGAAATCTTTGATAAACCTCCGGTAAAAACCCGTGTGCCCCAAGAAAGCCCTTACTCCCGTAATGGAAGTAGGCGGGGGTAGCTTGGTTATTACCGACAACTTAGCCGGATCAACTTCAATCCCTCTTTTTGACACCTTATGGCCGCGGAAAATTCCCTCCTCAACCATAAAATGGCATTTTTCCCAATTCAAAACAAGGCTCGTCTCTTGACATCGCTTCAAGACTTTTTCGAGGTTAAATAAGCACTTGTCAAAAGAGGACCCGCCTACACTGAAATCATCCATGAATACTTCAATTTCATTCTCCAACATTTCAGAGAAAATGGAGGTCATGCATCGTTGGAAAGTCGATGGGGCGTTGCATAGGCCGAAGGGCATCCTTCGGTATGCGAATGTCCCATAAGGACAAGTGAAAGTGGTCTTCTCTTGATCCTTAGGGTGGATTGGGATTTGGGAAAATCCCGAATATCCATCTAAGAAGCAATAGAAGGCATGCTTTGATAACCTTTCCAACATTTGGTCAATGAAAGGGAGAGGGAAGTGATCTTTCTTTGTATTTTTATTCAACTTCCTATAATCAATGCACATTCTCCACCCGGACACGGTTCGGGTGGAGATGTCCTCTCCCTTCTCATTCTTGAGTATGGTCATGCCACCTTTCTTAGGAACTACGTGAACCGGGCTTACCCATTTTCTATCGGAGATAGCATAGATAATCCCTGCTTCACGTAGTTTCAAAATCTCCTTTTTTACTACCTCTTTAAGGTTAGGATTTAACCTTCTTTGAGGCTCAATGGAGGTGGCATCATCATTCTCAAGATGGATTCGATGCATGCACAACGAAGGGCTAATACCCTTGATATCATCAATGCTATACCCTATCACACTTCTATATTTTCTCAAAACGTCAAGCAATTTTTCCAAATCAAGCCCATCAAGGATAGCATTGACAATAACCGGGTATTCCCCTTCATTTCCAAGGTAAGCATATTTCAAAGAGGGGGGGGGGGGAGGGGTTTGAGTTCTATCTTGGGAGGAGGCTTAGAACTCTCCTCCAATTTCTCCTCTTCTTGTGCTAGCTCTTCATGCTTAGGATCGTTCTCTTCCTCTCTTTTGGCTTCTTCAATAGTCATGACAAACTCCTTTGCCTCGAGAGAGTAGTACTCTTCCTCGCATGTAAGAGCCTCAACCATTGGATCTTGAGGGCTCATCATAACCCTTCCCAAACGATCCAACTCCTCACCTACCACATCAACCCTATAACACTTCTCAACCATGGGGGTCTTGAGTAGCTTAGAGAATTCAAAAACAATCTTTTCATCGGCTACTTCACAAGTAATGGTATTGTTTTTCCAATTAATGACGGCCCCCAATGTCTTCAATGTTTCCCTTCCAAGAATCAAAGGAGTGTTCTCATCCTCCGCAATATCCATTACAACAAAATCACAAGGTACATAGATGTGTCCCACTTGAATGGGGACATCTTCAATTTCTCCACAAGGCAACTTAACCGATCGGTCGGCTAGTTGAATGGTCTTCCTTGTGGGTATCATCTCGATATTCAATTGTTGAGCAATGGACAACGACATTAGGCTAACACTAGCTCCAAGGACGGCTAGAGCTCCTTTGGGCCCCAAGTTTCCAATCTTGACCGACAATGTGAAACTTCCGGGGTCTCTTTTCTTCTTTGGCATCTTATGTTGAACAAGCGCACTCACTTGATGTGGAAGTGTAATAAATTCATCCTTGAGCTTCCTTTTGTTCGATAGGATATCTTTGAGGAACTTCGCATAAGATGGCATTTGTGTCACCACTTCAAGGAAAGGTAGGTTGATGTGTAACCCTTTCATCACATCAAGAAACTTTGCAAATTTGTCATTCAACCTTCGCTCCGCAACCCTCCCGGGATAAGGTACCAGATTATCATACTTGCTAGTGTCAATGAGGTCCTTACCCTTGGACTTCTTGTCTCCAACTTCTTTCTCAACATTTACCTCCTCATCTCCCTTCTTTTCTTCCCCTTCTCTCTCTACCTCCTCACTCCCCTTTGGGCCTTCATAAGAAGCTCCCGATCTCAAGGTGATCGCCTTGCATGTGTCGGGTTATTTGAGGTTGTGAGATGGGTTTGTGTTTGGTTGTCCGGGTAGTTTAGAAGAAGAGTTTAAGGAAGAATTTTCGGCCACTTGAGCTAATTGAGAATCAACCATCTTGTTGTGAGCCTTAAGCTCTTGGATTTGTTGATTCATGGCTTGGAGTTGTTGGAGAATTTGGGTTTGAGTAGAATCGGGTTGAGACACTTGCTCTTGACTCCTTTGAGTTGCTTGATTTTGATTTTGGTATTGGTGTTGGCTATTTTGTTGATGGTTCCTTGGGTAGTTTCCCTTTGGGTTTTGGTTTTGGTATTGGTTTTGGTATGTAGGACGGTTTTGGTTTTGGTATTGTGGGTTGAAATTGTATGGTTGTTGATCTTGTTGGTTCCATTGTTGGGGTTGGTTTGCAAATCCGGGTGGTGGTTGTCTCCAAGCTACTCCTCCACCACTTCCCCTATATCCATATTGCCTTGTGTTGTAAGCCGTGACATGCTCCGGGCTCAAACCTCCACAATAAGATGTATCGTGGTTTGTACCACCACAATTTTGACAAGAGAAAGAGTTAACTTGGGAGGATCTTGCACCACTATTGATATTTGTATTCAACTTTGCAAGCCCTTTTGTCAACGTCTCAATTTGATGTTGTAATTGATCAACCTTCTCCAACTCATACTTTCCACCCTTTCTAGGTGCATTCCTCCTTCTACTTCCCCAAGAATAGTTCTTCACCACCTCTTCAATTGTTGCTTCAACTTGGTTTTGAGGGACTTTGATCAATTGTCCACCCGCCCCCGCGTCCAAGTTGGCTCTAGACATTGGCTTCAATCCATCGTAGAGGAATCTCATGAGTAAGCTTTGATTGTATTCATGGTGAGGACATGCTTGCACCAACTCTTTAAACCTCTCCTAAGCTTCACTAAGGCTTTCCTCCGCCTCTTTTTGAAAAGATGCAATCTTCCTCCTCATATCGGTGGTTTTCTCTTCGGAGATGAACCTTTTCAAGAATGCTTGGACAATTTCCCTCCATGTTGTGAGAGAATTAGGCTTGACTTGCTTGAGCCACTTCTTTGCTCTCCCCGCAAGAGACTGTCGGAATAGGTGCATCCGAATGTATTCTTGAGAAACTTGGTTGGTTTGTATCATGGCACAAAGCTCAAGAAATCTATCAAGATGCTCAATGGGGTCTTCACTTGGAGAACCCGAAAATTGCTCCGCTTGTACCATTCTTGTATATTGAGGATGGATGGTGAAGTTAGTTTCCGTGGCGGGTAGCAATATCCCACCGGTGAGCTCATAACCCTCCGGATTACCGAACTCACGAAATAAAACGTCCGCTTGTTGCCCAGCCATTTCTTCGCCTTGAGAGTGTGAAGAGCAAGAATCACTCTCACTATCAAAAATAGCTCCAAAACCTCTTCCTTCTTCTTGATAAAGTCTACGGACTTGTCTCAAGGTACGGTCTATTTCGTGATCAATGTAGTGAGAAGGTGGTCCTTGAGATCTCCTTTGCCTCCACCAAAGCTAAGCAAACGATTAGAAATGACTAGCACAATCAAATGGACAAAAAAAAAGAAAATAAAACTCTAAAATAACACAAAAGTAAAACAAAATTGACCGTCTCCCCGGCAACGGCGCCAAAATTTTATGAGGAACGAAATATCGTCGTCAATACACTTTCCTATCAAATTAATCCTAGATTACCTAAATGAGTATAGAGGCAAGCAAGGGTCGAGATCCACGGAGAAACGAGAGATTGCAACGCTAAGTGCTAACAATAGAGTTTTAAAAGGGGTGTAAATGAATAAGAGTGGTGGAAAACAAGAAAATAAATAAACTAAGGCTACCAAAATTACTCTAACAATTAACAAAGACTAACAAGTATTGGAAACTATGAGATTAAAAACGCTAGGGGGATCGGGGAACATCAAACTTGGAGATTAAGAGCTAAACACATAGATAATCAAGTCATCCATTCCCCTTCCCCTAGCTAAAAGTCTAGCCTAGGAGAGAGAAACTACTCATATCAACAATACCTAAAATATTGGCCATAATCAAAATCATCAACATAACAATCAAAAATACTTGAAATATGTAAATAAACCAAAATAAAAGGGATTAAGATAGAAAGAGCTCACAAAGCTTCAACCTTGTATTGAAATAAGAAAATGGGTCTTTGAACCTTCAATGGTGAATCATCAAAAATCCAATAGAATGCTACAATATTGATTACAAGGATGATCAAAGCACTAATCTGGATTAAAGATTAAAGTTTGGGTGGCAAAAGACTAAGAATCTGAATTTTCTCTCTCTAAAAACTTATACAAGCATCAATAGAGGCTATTCTCTCTCTAGAAATGTTCTAAGCATATTACCCTAAATGGAATAGCTGCCTTCCTTCCCTTTTCAAATCAGCTTTTAAGTAGGGAAATAAAAACGGGCTGCGCAGACGGCATGCGCGCCCGCTACAACTCTTTACGCGCCCGCGCAGGATGATGTGTGCGCCCTCTACTAAAGGCTGCGCGCCCGCAAACTTTCGTGTGCGCGCCTTCTACTAACATCTGCGCGCCCTCTAGTGAGCGCGCTTGGCATCTACAGAAAGTTTCCTTCTATCTTCAAGAGTTCAAGCTAATCTGCGCGCCCTCTCCAGGAATCATCGCGCCCGCGCAGGATGAGTAGCGCGCCCTCTCCAGGGCGCGAGGCATCCATGAGGTTTACATCCTGATTTGGCCTTGAATGCGCGCCCTCTCCCTTGGGTTGCGCGCCCGCGCAGAGCGGGAGAGAGGGCTCTTCTGGGCGCACAACCTGATTAAAGCTCCTCACTTGATTTGCTATTGAAACCGGCTCTCAAATCTATCCCGAACTTTCTTCTACTTCACGTATCGATTGGTTTACCTACAAAACACAGGAAAACACCCAAAAACAGCACAAAAAGGTAAAGTAGAGGGGAAGTACGAGGGAAATAGCATTGTTGTGCAATATATGGAGAAGCGCGGCAAAATAGGGTTAAACAAGCAGTAAATGGAGGGAAATGATAGGAAAAAGGATCCCGAATAGTGGCATAAAATCCACTTATCAATTGGAAGTAAAAAGTGAGGTGTAGAGAGAGAAAGAGTGCGAGAATCATGCGAAAACAGCAACAGTTGAGTCGTGAAAGTGAGCTGAATTGTCACTGCACGCATATACATACGCGACAGGTTTCTTGGTCAGGACGAGCAACTCGGGCAAGCAGATTAACCTAGCTGTGCACCCAGCATGCGAGGCTGGTGCGCTGCGCGTTGCTCGTGCTGCTCTGGTTGCGTGCAAGAGCTTGCTCGGGCAAGAAGGGTTCGTTGCTCGGCCGAGCAAAACGCCGTGCCCAATATAGGTTAAAATTGGAAATTTTCAAATTTTTCAACTTGGGCAAGTTCAATAGCATGCCCAAGAAACTTGTCCAAGTACCCTGTATTGCAACTTAGCCAAATTTCGCCATTTGTACTCTATTCCAAGCTTCACCAACATCATTTAACTCCCAAATTCAACCTACAAAAATCAAAAGTAAAGATTAACATGGAAAAATGCCAAAATAATGGAAAAGAAAATAAAAGAAAAGGAATAAAAATTTAAGAATTCGGGTTGCCTCCTGGGAAGTGCTCTTTTAACGTCATGAGTTTGACGTTCTCCACCTATCAAGGTGGGTTGTAGAAAATCATCTTATGAACTAGGCCAACGAAAACACCATCGTAATAACGTTTAAGTCTATGGCCATTGACTTTGAATGAGGATGAGGAATCCAAAGGAGATATTTCTATCACTTCATGAGGAAAAACACCTTGGAATAAGAACGGACCACTCCAATGGGACATAAGTTTCCTGAGAAACAATTTGATCTTAGAATTGTAGTGGAGGACCTTGTCACCAACATTAAACTCCTTTTTCGGATCTTGTCATGTAATTCCTTAGAACGAGCCTTGTAGATGCTAGAACAATCATAATCATCAAACCTTAGCTCCTCAAGTTCATGAAGATCAAGCCATCGTTGCCCGCACTAGCCAAATCAAAGTTAATCTTCTTAATGGCCCATTGAGCACGATGTTTAAGCTCCACCGGAAGATGACAAGATTTACCATAGACAAGGCGGTAAGGTGTTGTGCCAATATGGGTCTAAAAGCCGTTCTATAAACCCAAAGAGCATCATCAAGCTTGTCCGGCCAATCTTATCTATTTCTAGCAACCGTGTTCTCAAGGATCAACTTGATTTGACGATTAGACACTTCAACTTGTCCACTAGTTTGTGGATGATAGGGAAGACCAAACTTTTGGTGCACCCCATGTTTTCTCAACATCTTTGAAAAACCTTGTGCACAAAATGTGAACCATTATCACTAATCACAGCCCTAAAAACTCTAAACCTCATAATTATGATCTTCTTGAACAATTTCAATACCACCTTGTGATCATTGGTTGGGGAGGCAATGGCTTCAACCCATTTTGAGACATAATCGACCGCAACAAGGATGTATTGATTCCCATGAGAAGAAGGGAATGGTCCCATGAAATAGATGCCCCACACATCAAATACCTCTAGCTCAAGGATAGGTTGTTAAGGCATTTCATTCCTCTTGAAGATGTTTCCGGTTCGTTGGCATCGATCACAAGTCTTTTAAAACCCCTAAGTATCCTTGAAGAGATGTGGCCACCACAAGCCAAATTCAAGAATGTTAGAGGCGGTCTTCGAAATACGCATATGGCCACCACTAGGGTCGGTGTGGCACATCTTCAAGACACTTGAAACTTCCTCATTTGGGACGCAACGTCGTAACAACCCATCAACTCCACGCTTGTATAGAATAAGATCATCCCACAAATAGCGCCGTGACTCTCTCTTGAGTTTCTTCCTTTGGTTCTTAGAAACGAAGGAGGAAATTCACCATATGCTAGGTAGTTCACCAAGTCGGCGAACCAAGGAAGCTCCTTTTCCTTAATGGCATATAGAATATCATCGATCATTCTATCAAAGATAGGAACACCATCATTATGGTGTACATAAAATACCCTGGACCAGAAACCAGACCAGAAGATTCAGGTCTGGTCACGGTCCTTAAAAATGGGTGATTCCAGGTTCCGGTCCGGTCTGGGTTTAAACCGGAATTTTTCGGTCCAGATCGAAAAATCGGTTCAAATTTTATTTTTGTTGGTATAATCAGGAAACGACTTCAAAAAATTGAACGTTTAGTCCCCTAAAAAAAAAACCTAAGTTTGAATTCCCTCTCTCTCCCCGACGATTCTCTCTCATCGGAGATTCTCTTTCTCACCAGTGATTCTCTCTCACCGGAATCGGTTCTCTATCTCACCGGCGACTTCTCAATCATGGTTAGTGTTTTTTTTTCGTTCGTTTTTTTTATACTTTCTCAATTTCTCAAAGTTTTCAATCTAGTATTTCTCAATTATTGATGAGTATTTACTTGGTTAATGTTTGCATGTTGATTTTTTGAATTGTATTACATGTTTTAAGTGAATTTGTACGGATTTTAGGGTTTCTTTTAATATGTGGGTTTATGTTTTTCATTCCTTTGATTCTGGGTTTTTGTTTTTGTTGGGTTTCTTAGTGACCCTCACTACGCGGGAAGAAACCCGCCAAGACCCGCCCCCAAAATAAATGCAACATAATTAAAACATAATTAAGGATAAAAGATTATACGTTTGACGCGTGCTTCGCTCTACTATGAGCTCTTACTTGAACCCCGAAAATACGAGGTCTCCAACGGGATCGTACCCTCGAACCCGACCCGAGCATCCTAAGCCTCGAGTATTAGTCGCTAATATAAACTTGGAGTTTTACGAATTTCAAGGTATACTCAACAATGGAG